AAAGAGAAGGGGCAAGTTCTGACTTACCTTTTAACAGGATCACTCTGGCTTCAGTATGGATGGTAGACTGTTAAAGGGAAGGTAAATATAGGAAGACCAGGTAGGAGGCTGCTGCAAAAATTTACATCGATGATGTTAGCTTGGTGGCAGGGGGGGTGGTGAGAAACGATCAAATTCTGGATACATTCTGAAGGTAAAGACAACAGAATTTGCTGCTAGACTGGAATGGGAATGGAAAGAAAAAAAGAAACAAAGACTCCAAGGATTTTGTTTGATGCACTGGAAGGAAGGAAGAGCCTGAGATGGAGGAGACTGCTGGAGGAGTTAGTTTGGGAGAAAAGACCTAGGCTTCAGTTTTAGACCAGTTAAATTTGAGCTATCTGTTAGACATCCAAATAGAGATACTGATTAGAGATAGGATGTACGAGCCTGTATTTCAGGAGAGAGGCACTGCTAAAAGATACCTGTATTTCTTCGACCTAAGATGACTTCATGCTGTTCTGTTCTTTTCTTTCTTTTTCTTTTTTTTTCTATTCATGAGAGACACAGAAAGAGGGGCAGAGACAAGGCAGAGGGAGAAGCAGGCTCCCTTTGGGGAGCCCGATGCTGGACTTGATCCCAAGACTCCAGGATCACCCCCTGAGCTGAAGGAAGACACTCAACCACTGAGCCACCCAGGCATCCCCACGCTGGTATTTTCTTGAACATTATCAGGAACTGTCAAAAGAAAACTTCACCCAAAATTGTCACCTCACTGACAGTGACAGATGCCACCTGTTTCTAAAACATTGTCTTTCAACTTCAGCACAACTTTGGGTCAGACAATTCTTTGTTGTGGCATCCTGTGCACTGTAGGGTTTTAGCAGCACCCTCGGCCTCTACCCACTAGATGTCAGTAGCACACTTTTATCAGTGACAACCAAAAAATGTCTCCAGACCCTGCAGAATGTCTCCTGGGGGAGCAAAATAGCTCCCAGTTGAGAACCATTGTTTTAGAGGGATTAAAGTGTGGGGAAAAGGTATGTCTTTGATAAATGAAATAGAGTTATGTGGGAGTTGTCATTGTTTATACTCACAAGAAGAGTGGATATAGACCAGAAAAGTAGTCTGAGGACTGTACCTTGGGGCACTCCAATGTCAAGAGACTGCAGGCAGAAAAAGGAGATTATGCTAGATATGGCTGAAGTCAGGTAACCAGCTCAGTAGGCCCAAGGAAAGCTGAATTGTTAAGCCAGCACTGGAAAAAGCAGAGGAGTACCCAATGTACATCATGTAACCTCAAATGCCTCCAGAAGCAACAGAAGTGATAGTTGGAAAGAAAGCAGGAGCAGGGGATCCCTGGGTGGCTCAACGGTTTAGCGCCTGCCTTCGGCCCAGGGCGTGATCCTGGAGTCCTGGGATCGAGTCCCACATTGGGCTCCCTGAATGGAGCCTGCTTCTCCCTCAGCCTGTGTCTGCCCCCCTCTCTCTGTCTCTCATGAATAAATAAATAAAATCTAAAAGAAGAAAGAAAGAAAGAAAGAAAGAAAGAAAGAAAGAAAGAAAGAAAGAAAGAAAGAAAGAAAGAAAGAAAGAAAACGAAAACAGGAGGATTAGTTGAAAGCATACTTAAGAAAGCAGTTAATTCACATATTCTTTCTTTTACTCGCTTACTCGCAGTGGTCTTAGGATCAGACTGACAGTCCCTCAGGACCTAACAGACCATGGCTTGGCACCAAATTCACTTAGTTCTACAGAAAGACAAAGCATGCTAGCATGAGACATGCTATCTTTAAAAAGGATCTTATAGGTCACTAAGAGCCATTTCTGGACCCACCATTCTAAGGGACAGAAATCATGTAGGTAAGTACAGAAATAACCCTGGTTTAAGGAAACTACATACTCAAAAGGAACCAGCAATACATTTTAACAGTCAAGGAGCGTGTGGGTTCCAGGACCTCTCAAGAGATGTATTTACATTCACTTACAAAACTGATATACTTCACACTAGGAAACAAAGATCTGTGTCTCTTCATAGGCTTTTATAGTTCACTCACAGTCTTCCTGCTCCATATGTACTCACTAATCAGAGGTCAGTTTATAATAAACAATATTACCTGGAACCATTCTATATTTATTAGTCAAGTTTCTAGAAGAAAAAAAAAAAGCCCCCCCATGGGAAAAAAAAAGGATGCAGACTTGCCAATAACCCTTTCTACTTAAAGCAGTGATCCTCAGAGTGGGGATTTTTGCCTTACAGGGGACATGTAGCAATATCTAGAGACATTTCCAGTTGTCACAACTGAAAGAGGTGTGTATACTACTGGCACACAGTGGACAGGAGAGATGCCAGCGATGCTGCTAAATTTCCTACAGTACACAAGAGAGCTTCCACAACAAAGATTGATCTAGCCCAAAATGTTACTAGTTAATGCTGAGAAATTCTGACCTAAAAGGATTAAATTGAAATTCACATACTGAACATTGAGGACTACCTTACAATGCAAGCCTTCTTTCCCAAATGGGCTGCTAAAGCACGGGCAGCCAGCATATATGCTCTATGCAGGAGAATGGAAGAATCTTCTCTGGAGAAGCTCACACACCTGAGAGAAAAGACCTAAGAACGATGCTGGAGCAAAGACTAGGAAAGACAGCAAAGAATTTTAAGTTGATATTAATAGAATACTAATTTTGTTTGAATTAAGAGACTTAAAATAGGGGAAAGTTTGGAGTTGAAACAATGATAAACATAGAAAAAAACTATATATTTTTAAATCTCAAGACAATTATTAATTCCAGGTAAGCAAAATGTTATCCCATGTAATAAAAGCATACAGTTTAGCACCAAATTGCATGTATATAGTCATGATAATATAAAAACTGAATAGTAAACCAACCAAAATATACTGGGATAGGGGAGAATGAGGGGAGAAGAGAGAAGACTTATCTAAACCTAATCTTCCAGAGTGAGAAGTCAGCAGATAACACATACAACTGAAAAATATCAAGAAACAGCAATACAGATTTAATGACATAGAGGTAAATACCCTGAGAATCAGCTAAAAGAGTACAAAGCTCTGACCTCTGAGAGGATATGGCATGTGTGTGCACATGTGTGGCAAAGTGTTCTAGAAGTCTCATAGAACTATTTGACTCTTTAATCTCTATGCTTGCAAAAGTAATTAAAATATTTTTTTAGAGACTGTATTTAAGTGTGGGGTCAATTTAAGACATGGGTTTGGGATCTAGTAAGCCTCAATTGGTTTTCTTGATTTGAAGAACAGACCAAATTCATTAAAAAGTACAGTAAAGCAAGTTCCAGGTTTGTTAAACCACTTGTCTACTCATCCAGGCAAGACAAAAAGAAGAGGATGCTTTATTACTGGTTTACTCACCAAACTTTACATATTGAAGTCTTACACTAAATATTATACTATTGAACACTGGTATCTTTGTCCAAGAATACTAGTAGGTCATAACTGAAGAGTTTGCTGGGAGAGAACTTTTCACTTTTTACTTTGTTTTTATTATATGAACTTATATAACGAGTATATATTTTTACAGATGAAACACACAAAAATCCTTAATGATTAGTTTAACCTGACTTCATGAATCTTGACTCAACTCAAAATAATCTGATTAGAAAGAAGGAATATCAACATACAAAACACAAAGTAACCAAGAAGGCACATCCCTAATAAAATATTGCTCATATCCCAACAGGTAAATCTAAAAGATATAAATGATACATACTTTATAGCTGGTCCTAAATATAATCCCCAGGTATCATAAAACAGAAATAAATTTTTCTCTATAGAATGTATACCATTTAGATGAGCTTCATTTTAAGTGAAAGTCTATTTTTTTAGATTAGTATACTTTTTCTTTATAAGCAATTAAACTCAAAATTTATCTCCAAACCATAATGATTCATGCTTCTTTTATGCTTCACAGGGCCCAAACTCAGTATATTAATGGGTATAAAAAGTTACTGACTGATGGAAATTAACCTAATGAATTAAATAATTGGGGTGAAATTAATAATGTTGAGTAATAGGTATATATTTTAAATTTCTCTGTAATTCTTTAAACCATGTTGTATAAGATTTTACCTTAGTATTGATTATTCATAAATAGATTATTTTACTCTGTGGTACAGAGGATTGTAAACATAAACTGAAGAGAAAGCTGGCTTTATTTTACCCATACTGATCTTCTTTCTTGCTGCCACACTGTAACAATATTGCCTTCTTCCTAACAAAAATATTCAATACAGAATTTACCTACACCAAAATCAGCTTTTGCTAAACTTATTTTAACACAAAACCATTCCTTGCCCTCACCCCATCACATCCAGAACTCTATCTTTTAAAATTCCATTCACATATATTATCACTTTGGATTCTCTGAACTATCATATGAGGATCAGACCATGTACTATTAGCTCCATTTTACTTACAAGAAATTGATGTTCACAGAGGCTGAATAACTCATTTAAGGTCCTATGGTGTAGTGAGTGGCAAAGAGAACACTTGGAATCCAGTTTCCTTATTCCAAGCCCAGTGGCTCTTTCCACTATAGTACACTGACTCTTTGATAATAAAATAAAATCTTGGGAGGACTAGAGTGGTGGTAGGTATCTTTTTCTTAATTTGTTTCATAATAAACATACGTTAAACAGCAGTTACGTTAAACAGCAGTTACTATCAGCCTAACAATTATTATAATTTTGTAAAGTATCACCAAGTATAAACCACATTTCAAGTTTTTTAAGCATGTGAAACAACTGATATTAATTCAAGGTCTTCAAACAGTCTAAGAACAAAATGAAGACACTCTCAATCATTTTGACATTGCTGTTCTGGTAATATATTCTTATGTAGTGAATTTAAACCTTCGCTCAAAAAAATCCTGACAAATTTTACATGTAGAAAAAATAAGAAATTTAATTTAAACATTTTAAAAGTATCATTTCTTCCTTTTTAAAATACTAAAATAGCAGGAAAGTTCCATGTACTTACCTCAGTAACTGGCTGCCCCTGATGTGTCAAATCCAGTTCTTGAGGGCGTGTTACTTTATCAATATCCAAAGAGTCCATGCTGGAGGTTGCGGAGGTGATGCTAGAACGAGAGGAGTTACTAATAGAGCGCACTTCAGCATCGCTCACTGTGCCTGCTGATGCTGTTCTTCTATGCTGATTAGTTACTAAGGGCTTAGTATCTTCTAGTACAGATTGCTGAGCAGCCTCATCCATGCTCAAGGAAGCCTGTTCTAACTGTGCAGTGATGTCATCCAGAGAGTAGTTGGCATGTGATGGTTTAGTTATCCTGTTAGATGAAGAAGACAATCCTTTCAAAGTGCCATGTTTTGATGTATGTCGGCTAGCAGGTAATTTCTGAGTGGCTTTTGTTTCTGTGATTTGACGCTTACTATTTCCTGCACCAATACTGCTGAGCTCCTGCTCTATCGAGCAAAGATCGGCCATCAGGGCATCCAGATCCACAGTTTCTCCCTGATTCAGAGCTTCTGCAATGAACAATATATACATGATGTTTCCAGAACACACTGAATCAGAATTTATACATTCTATTATAAATCTGTCAAAGGATGAAGGGGAAGCAAATAAATTTATCCTATTGGGCCTAAGGCCTATTGAATAATTTCTAAGAGTTTTTTGTTTTAAATTCAGAGAAAATTTTAGAAGCAAATAGTCCATCTTTTAAGATTTGTAGTAATCAGGGAAGAATAAAATTATGAACTGAAAGATTAAAAGTGCAAAAACCATATATTGTCCCATGGTTTTAACCATATCCCCCATGCAACTTTCTACCATAGACTCTATGTTGTTAATATGATCAGTGCCCTGGTAGAGCATGGAGAGAAAAATGTAAAGCCTAAAAAAATTATAGATTGTGATGTCAATTCCAAATATCACAAAGTTGATTGGGCATAATACAAAAATTAAAGCCAGAGGGGCTGATTTAAAAATTATAAACATGTAATTTCACTGGACTTTATTCCAATGAAAATACAACAAGTGCAAGTAAGTTTACCATGGGGTTCCACCGGAGTATGTACTTTGTCTATTAATAACTAGAAAACTATTTTTGTTGTGTTCCAGTTCATTTTTTTCTGTGATTACCTGAATTAGTAATAAAATGCACAAACCAAGAAACATAAGAACTCAAGTTATGCATGTAGTTTTTATATTGAGCTACTTGGAACTGGTGCTCATTACTTCTGCATTATATGATTTAGTACATTCTTTTACATTTTATTTCCAATTACATCTTACCATTCAAGTTGTATATGGAGAAGCGATAAGAAAAATTGGCCATATTTGTTTCCTGACGAAGAGGAGATCTTTTTACCGGTTCCGTGGGCTTGTCAGAATCCAAACTCTAAAGAAAGTTTAATAAGTTGTATTATTCTCAGGCTTCAATTATAAGAAGGATACATAAAGCTTGTTATTTGATTAGGTAAACTGTCATGTAATAGTTAATAAAACCAAAGTCCTTCTAGTTTTAAGGACTAATATAATTGTTTTTCATATCATTTTGGTTATATTTTTTTCAACTTTTAGATATATGCTTACTTAAGGCATTTAACATCACCCTAGTTTGAAGTGAGTATCTTTCCAAATACATCAAATATAGTGACTGAGCTCATTTTACATAATAAATTCACTATAAGCTAAATGTATGAATATGGGCATGGTAAGATACAACATAGAAAGGAACAATGTAGAGAATTCTGTTATCTCTTTCCTCAAAGGGATTTGTTTTTGGTCCAGCAGTCTCATTCTTGGCATGAAGTACCCTGAAGATAAGATACAATTCTGGACTCAACATGAGTGAGATCCAAGCTCATTTTTTTTCTTTGTATTTATGTATTTATTTTCATTAAAATTTGTTTTAAAATTTTAACTGTAGTTAACATATATGCTGTTATATTAGTTTCAGGTACACAATACAGTGATTCCACAATTTTATATACTACTCAGTGCTCATTATACCATTCCCCCACCTCTCTGTTAACTATCAATTTGTTTTCTATAGTTTAGAGTCTATGTTTTGGTTTGTCTCTTTTATTCTTTGGCTTTCTTTAGTGATATACTTGGATTCTTTTTATTCTTTGCTTATCTACTACTGGTTTTTTATTTGTCTATTAGGTTTATATATAACATCTTCTGCATATAGCAGTCTACATTAAGTTGTTGGTCACTTAAGTTTGAACCCATACTTTATTCCTCTCCCTCTTACAATTTAGGTATACGGTGTCATACTCTACACCCTTTTATTTTGTGAATTCCTTAACTGATTTTTAGAAATATACTTATTTTATTGCTTTTGTGTTTCCTACTTTTCTTACTGCTATTTAGTCTTTCCACTCAAAGAGTACCCTTTAACATTTCTCATAGGGCTGTTTAATGTTCATAAATTCCTTTAACATTTGTTTGTCTGGGCAACTCTTTATCTCTCCTTCTATTCTGAATGATAGCCCTGCTGGACAGAGTATTCTTGGTTCCAGGTTTTTTCCTTTCAGCACTTTGAATATACCACGCCATTCTCTTCTGGCCCACAAAGTTTCTGCTGAAACGTCAGCTGATAGCCTTATGGGGTTTGCCATGCTTGCAACTGTTTTCTCTCGCTACTTTTAAATTTTTCTATCATTACTTTTTGCTATCTTAATTACTATGTATCTTGGTGTGGACCTTCCTGGACTGATTTTGTTGGGGCATCTCTTTGCCTCCCGGATCTGGAGTTTTGTTTTTTTCCCCAGATTTGAGAAGTTTTCTATTTTTTCTTCTAATAAGTTTTCTGTCCCCCTTTTTTCTCTCTTCTTCTGGATCCCTAAAAATGCAAAATTATTACACTTGATGGTGTCACTGAATTCCCGAAGTGTATTTTCATTTTGTATTATCATTATTTTTCTCTCTCCTATTCAGCTTGATTGATTTCCACTAGTCTGTCCTGCAGGTCACTGATCTGTTCTACAATAGTTCTAGTCTACTATTTATTCCATCTAGTATATCTTAATTTTCAGTTATTGGATTCCTCACCTCTGATTTTTTTTCTATCTCTTTGTTGAGGGTTTTACTGAGGTCTTCCATTCTTTTCTCAAGTCCAGTGAATATTTCTATGACCATTACTTTAAATTCTCTAACAGGCATATTATTTTACCTCTATTTGGTTTAGCTCCCTTGCTGTGACTTTGTTCCGTTCTTTCATTTGAAACATATTCCTGTCTCCTCATTTTGTCTCTGTCTGTTTCAATGTGTTAGGAAAGTTAGTTAAGTCTCCTGCTCTTGAAAGTAGTGCTCTACAATAAAATGTTGTTTCCTGTTGTTTCTATTCACCAGAACCTGATGCTTCAGGGGTGTTCCCTTTGTAGGTTATATGTGCCCCACTGTTGTGGCTCACTCAATTTTGCCTTCAGTCTAGGTGTGCAATGGTTCTCTTTGCCTGTTGTGGGCAGGTTTTAGTCCCTATATTGCTAGTGAGTCAGTCTGGGTCCACCTTGGGCTTAAGTTGAATCAGACCAGGTGTCTGCCAGAGCTGCAGTCACACCAAACTGCAAGGCTTTCTCCCTGTGTTGTTCCCTGAGAAGCTTTCACTGGTGGGCAGGGCCTGCAGTCTGACCAGATGTCTATCTCCAGACCACTGCTGGGCCCAGTTGTATTCATATATGCAATTATCTTCCTCTTGTCCCAGGGCAGGAGTCATTTTGGAGTGGTTCTCATCCCTGCGGGGGTTGCTTTCAACCTACCAGCCTTGTAGTACCACTTTGAATGGGTTCCAGTCAAGAGCATACTGAAAGGGGTAGGACTGCAGAGAACACAGAGCAGGGTGGGTGATGATAGCACAGTCTGCTCTGGTCTGCTGTAGAAGAGGACCTGCAGCCACTGGAAGAGGCAGGCCAGGCTGGAGGAGGGCAGGTCCAGAGAAATACACAGAGTAGGATGCACGGTGTTAGCAAAGTAGGAAGGTCTGCATGGCCTACTGTGGGAGGTGACCTGGAGCTGAAGCATGGCTGGAGGGGGCATGTCTATAGATCGTGGGGGCAGGGCACACTGTTAGTAAGTTAGGTAGTATTGGCTCCAGGCTGGTTCCTGCAGTTGTCTGTGGCTTTATGCCAGGAGTTGGGGAGGGAAATGGTTCCCGCCAGCTTCTTTGTTCCTGGAGAAGTCCTCAATGATCCCTGCCTCTCCAGCACATGCTCTGAGATTAGTAAACAAATCCTCCTCTCCCTTACCCCAGGTGTTTTTCAAACTGTTGTTTCTATGCTGTATCTCAGTGGGGCCTCTTTAAGGGCAGGGCCTCCATTTCCTCCAGCTGTCCTGGCTCTGCCTGAGCCAACTCCACTGATTTTTAAAGTTCTACATGTTAAGTTCCATGGACTGTCCATGGACGGTAAGAACAAAGGGAAATTCGGCCCTGCTAGTTTTCAAAGCCAAATGTTATGGGGATACATCTTCCCCATGTAGGCTCCCTTGTCTGAGTCTGTTTCTCTCCTTTCTCTGTGCCCAGAATGCCCCTCCCTCATGTCTTTGCCATTCCTTCTTTCTTGGATGTGGCTTCCCTACAATTAGCTGCAGGAAGTTTGTTCTAATCTTTAGGTCATGTTCTGGGTTATTTACACTGATGTAGAGGTTATCTAATTGTATCCATGAGATACATAGTGAGTTGAGGATCTTCTTACTCTGACATCTTCCCTGGAAGTCCCAAGACCCAAGATCTTAATGGCTTGGTGAATGGCTACAACTTCAGACAATGATGGAATATCCTGTTCTTCTCAAGCTCTATTAAGATGAGGACGAACTTTAACCCAGCTATGATATTGCCTATAAGTCTAGAATTATACTGTACTTCAGGACAGAGTGTTTTGTAGGTTATCTTGCCACATTTAAAATTGACACTTTTCTTAACTTTTCTACAATAAAGAATATAAGATGCTTATAACGGAGAGGTTCGGGAAAATGTCAGGAGTTATTTAGTGTCTATTTAAATAAACTTTCAAATACTAAGAATAGCCTTTTAAAACTTTAATTTCTATTTAAATTATCAAATAGGTTTCAGATAAAAAACAATACTGGACAGTATGTAAAATCACGGAATTAGATTAGAATGGTGCTTCTTTATTCATTTGTCTCAAGATAAAAGGAATCTATTCAGATAGTGTCCAACCAGTTTTTAAACTAGGGGATCCACAATCATTCCCTGACTTATTTCAAAGTTTCACAAAATAGGATATTTTTCAACCTCAAACTCTTTTCTTCTGTTGCAATTTAAGTCCTAATGCTTCTCTCAGTGCAAATAAAAAATTAAGTAGGTAAATTATAGTAATAAGTAGGTATTTTACAGTTATTCTGTAAGATAACTTGAAAATAATTGAGGATATATTGAGTCGATCTGTTTACCAATTCAAATAAACAGATACTTGTTATAATTATCTGCTGTACCCACAGTGCTGGGAGAACAAAATAAATAGTAAAAAAAGGGATCCCTGGGTGGCGCAGCGGTTTGGCGCCTGCCTTTGGCCCAGGGCACGATCCTGGAGACCCGGGATCGAATCCCACGTCGGGCTCCCGGTGCATGGAGCCTGCTTCTCCCTCTGCCTGTGTCTCTGCCTCTCTCTCTCTCTCTCTCTCTCTGTGACTATCATAAATAAATAAAAGTTAAAAAAAAATTTAAAAAAAAAATAAATAAATAAATAGTAAAAAAAAAAAATACTCTTTGATACCAAGAAATTGGTAACCTAACAGATTTTTTTTTTTTTTTTAACTTTTGGGAGGGTAGGTGTGGAGGGAGCATCATAAGGATTTGGTAAAAAGCTCTTAACTTTCTTCCATGAAAATGTAAACACAGAAAAAATTTTACAAACAATTTTAGAAGATTCACCAACTAGCTAAAACTTAAACTCGATTTAATATAAAGCTGAAAATCCCATTAATATGGTACATGTGATAGGAGTGTGTGCACAGATGACACTTTGTAATGAACTAAAATAATGAAACAAAAAACTTGAGGTTTTAGTCACTAATAAAGTACATAAAATATTTTTTGAAAATTTCTGCAGTGTTAAAAGGCAACTTATAGCAGTGAGTCACCATTATGCAATGGTTAATCTGTTGTGTCTCTAAAGACAGATTTATACAATTTAAAAAACCCAGTCACAGCATTAGTTTAGGAGCCAACTTTTTTTTCTTTTTTTTTTTTTTTTAAAGGAGCCAACTGGGGATCCCTGGGTGGCGCAGTGGTTTAGCGCCTGCCTTTGGCCCAGGGTGCGATCCTGGAGACCCGGGATCGAATCCCACGTCAAGCTCCCGGTGTATGGAGCCTGCTTCTCCCTCTGCCTGTGTCTCTGCCTCTCTCTCTCTCTCTCTCTCTCTCTCTCTCTCTCTGTGTGTGTGCCTATCATAAATAAATAAAACAAAAAAAAAATGTAAGGAGCCTTTAAAAAAAAAAAAAAAAAAGGAGCCAACTTTTTTGATGAGTGGCTCTTAACATTATATGGCAAGGAATTTAAAATACTGGGAAGAATACAAATACCAAACCAGTAGAAAGCCATCTGCAATGAAGTAGCATAGTTACTAACCCACCTTTTTTAAAACTTAAGATACAATAAAACAAGATAAAAATGCTTTCCTGTTGTTTTAAAATGCAGCCAGGAATGAAATTTTGTCAATATTCTAGAACTATGAGATAGAAAATACCGCATGTGAGGATACTACTTATGTTATAATGTGTCGTAAATACCCATATTTACTAAGTTACATAATAGACTTTGCTAAAATTTAGACTTTTAGATTTTAGGTTTTAAAACTTTTTAGCCAGCAATCTTAGTTTACAAAACAGATTTTAAATAATCCCTTTAGATGAACAGAACCTCTGTCACAAGTACTTTTTTGCTTTTAGACTCCTTAAAATAACCACAAAAGATAATACATTCGTTTACCTGTTAATATTTTGGACATTTTCCCTTCATAGCAGCATTTAAAAATGGAACCTATATCCACATCCCTATGTCTACACAGTAAACTTTTAGCACACAGTGAGGACTTAAAATCCTTAAACAATTTTTTAAACACTATTTCTAACCTGAGTGAGTTTGTCTAGCTCCCCTAGCCAGGCTCCAAACATTTTGTCCAGATCCTGATCTTCCTTATCACTGTCTTCTTCAGCACCATGGTCAATTTCTTCATCCGATAACTGCTCCATCTGAAAGACAAAATGAGTGTAACAGGTTAAACTTGAAAAATTATACATTTTTTTTTTAAGATTTTATTTATTAGAGACAGAGAGAGAGAGAGGCAGAGACACAAGCAGAGGGAGAAGCAGGCTCCGTGCGGGGAGCCTGACGTGGGACTCGATCCCGGGTCTCCAGGATCACACCCTGGGCTGAGGGTGGCGCTAAACCGCTGAGCCACCCGGGCTACCCGCCATGGCCATACATGTTCTGATATATACTGTTAACTTTCTAGAATCAAACCTTCCAAACTAAAGATTATATTATACAAGGAAATTAGAAGTCATTAATGGAGACAGGGCTGACAAGTGAGTAGGAATGAGCAATTAAGCTCAAATTTTTAGGAAATTGTAAAAGAACAAAATGTATCAGATTATTACCAGAATCACAAGTAACAAGAATTCTAAAACTGCAGAGTCCACCCATTAATCAGAGGATATTATAGTATAGCTTTCTCCACTAACAGATCCTGTAACACCCCAATTACCAGAGAAATAATTTCAGAAGACTTCAATCCAGCAGGTTATTATCTCACTTATTCTGTAAAAACCTAGATACAAGTATGTATCTTGCAAAACCTTAGTCCAAAAAGCACTTAAGAAAAAGACAAAATTTTTAATCTAGTTTAGTCTGTTGGATTTGTTCCTCTTACCGTGTTCTTTCTATCTTACTTTCTCATCAGTTCTGACAAAATCCAAGGAACTAGAGCTAGTAAGACTACTGAAATTAAAAACAAAAACAGAAAACTGGAACTGAAAACTTTAAATTTATATACAAAATTTCCTATATGTTGTGACTTTTCAAGTATAAGTCCTTGAAAGAAGAGAGATTTCATTTCTTCTCATCAGTAATGGGGTATCTGACGTGGAACCTGTATATTGTTTTGTGAAGAGAGGAAAAGATTACACAAAACAAAGTGAGATCAATGACTGAGACTTAAAATTCTTAAAGATTAATCTGATTAATGTAAAATATTTCAATATTAAAGGCTCTGAGAATCTTTAAAAAAAAAAATCCCAGTATAGTTAACATACAATGTAGTGATTTAGCAATTCCATACACTACCCAGGGCTCATCACAAGTGCACTCCTTAATCCTCAACACCTATTTCACCCATCCCCTCACTTACATCCCTCTGGTAACTATCAGTTTGTTCTCTATAGCTAAGAATCTGTTTCTTGGTTTGTCTCTCTCTGAGAAAACTTTAATAAAGCTTATTTTTGCTTAAACCAACATATTTCAAATTAATTTGACTACAAATCCTTTCCCTTCAATTTGGAGTAATACCTATTAACGTTCCCAGGGACACAATAAGTATCATCATTCTACATTCCATATTCTTGACTCACGTTTCTGAAACTCAAATTTTGTTTCAGTGGATCTAGGCAATATTTGGGCTACCACCTGCCTGTTGGTTTAAACAATTCCTCAGAGGTTAAAGATATCCTTAATCTCAAATAAGAATCTGAACACATATTATACCTCCAAAGCAACAATCAACAAAAGTAACTGTGATCCTTAAAATGTGGTTATGAGATGTGAGGAACTTAATTATCTAATGAGATGTCATGAAGCTAAATGTTAACCCTTATTATATGAAATTTTGCAGAAAGGGTCAAGTAGTGTTACAAAAATCAAACTGAACTTAGTTCTAACAATATGGAAAATTAGATCATATCCCATTTAATCACTTAAGGGAGATAATTTTCATAAGCTTAATACTACAAAGGATCAGAACCTACCAGTATCTCTAATATTAACTGATAATTTTCACTTCTTAATTTCACTACTCTAAGCATGTATAAAACAGGGAATTCTCTCTTAACAAATGGAAAATATATCCACTAATTCCCAAAATCATACATTTGACTCTTAAAGAGATTTGGTTTTTATAATTCACTTGTGTTGTTACTACTAGTAACTAGTAGATAAGAATCCTACTAGTTCTAGGATTTTTATTCATTAATGAGCTACTTACAGATCTATTACAATAGAAACCTGGTATCATACTTCATTAAGTTATCTACCAAGGAAAACATAAAATGTTAGTATGAAGAAAAACCTCTTCTGACCAGGAGCTTAATAACTCAAATAACTGCTAGTTTGAGAACATCTAGGATTAGGAATATCGCCTTCATAATGAAGGCCAACAAGCAACAGAACTGAGAATTTAAAAGTCAACTTCCTCTTCCTCCCCAATCTTTAAAACTAAACATACTGGAATAACTCAGAAGCTAAAATATTCTAGGAGGAATTCTGCTTTGAGATAATGATACTTATGCCTGCACTTCCCTTCTGAGCACATAATTGCCCATAGAGAAGATGCTATACTGGTAAAAATAAAATAGGAATATAATTTTGCATATAGTTTTGCAGAGCATATGCAAAATAGTTCAAAATGAATATTTTTTTTATGATTTTATTTATTTATCCATGAGAGACACACAGAGAGAGAGAAGCAGGCAGGGTGCCTGATGCAGGACTCGATCCCGGGTCTCCAGGGTCGTGCCCTGGGCTGAAGGCGGCACTAAACCGCTGAGCCACTGGGGCTACCCTGAATAGAGTATTTTAAATTATTATGGAGCTAAATGGAACTATAGACTCCACATCAGAGACTGGTGGGTTTTTTGAGTTTTTTTCATATTATTCAAACCCAATAATTATTTGGATTTTTAAATATCTCTCTACATATTTTCATTAACAGTTTTATCTAGACTAATGCAGATTAAAGTAGAGGGAAATATGGCTAGGGAGCTGTTAATAACAGAAAGTCATAAAATAAATCGAAATTCTGAAGCAACTATTTGACTTTTATTATTTATGTAACCTTTGCCATTTTTTTTCCGTTCTTGAGTTTGTCACCACGTGGGTTATTTTATAAAAATTAAGACACCTATTCAGAGAGTTTTCTAGTAAAAATTTAGGTCCTACATTTCTTAATAGATCTGTACCCTAAAATAGCATTTTCCCTTCTCTAGAAGTTTTAGTTGATCCTTATTCTCCTACACCCAGAAATGCCATCATTTCTGATTACTACACACACCAAATGAGAGCATCCCCCCAAATTTTCTTATAGGCTCTGTAGTGTTAAAGTCAGCAAATCTAGTAAAGAAATTCATTCTCCATTATATATTGATGTCTGTCTCCAATTAGATCACAATTTTAAATCTGAATCTTCCCAGCATAATGGCCCAAATGGAAATGACAGCAGAAACTGTAAAAAAAAAAATTAAAAATTAAAAAAAAAATAAGTCAACTGTCCCTGCAAAGGGGGAAAAAACATTAAGGAAAAGAAAATAGAACTTATGAATCTTATTTTTAAAATAATTTGGATTTAAAAGAATACCTTCTGATGTGATGTTTTTCCTTAATGATGTGGAAACAGGCCCAAAGAAACTATAATATATACTAGAACAAATATTATTAAATTATTCTATGACTATTAGATTAGGTACTTTGGGGGGGGGTATATTTTAAAGTTCCACTTTAATTCCCTGGTCCATTACATCTGAGGGAAGCTATGTCCTGAAAGAATAAATGTACCCTAACACAAATGAAAAAGTTTATTCCCCAAAGGGCACACTTAATAAATACAGAATAAAATCCAAAGACACTGGCATATCAAGAGAGCCCTTGATGATCCTGGCCCTTCATGGACCTCTCTGATCTCTCTCCCCACTCTCCCTTCCAGCCACACTGTCCTCTGGAGCAGTTTAGAGTTGGGGAGGGTATGGATTCTGTTTTGAAGATAGATTGAAGGGTGCCTAGTAAATATCCAAATGGGAAAAAACAAGGAAGGGTTACTAGGACTCAAGTCATGAGAAGGTTTGGTTAGCCTGATTATTTCAAAATCATGTTTATTACAGAATAGTCACAGATTGCAGGTAATAATGATTGAACTCATATTTTAAACTAATTACATTTATTTTTTTCATGAAGTAAAAACAGAAATAATGCTGGAATGATCCACTACTGTTTATATGCTGGTTGGTTTCATTTCACACATAACAGTCAGTAATTGTGCTTTAGTTACCACAGGTTAAAACTTACATGTAGCAAGCTTCACTACATATAACAAAACTTGTATGCCTTTGTATGAAATTATATTATTTCTGCTAAATTTTTTATGAAGTTAATTATTCAAGCATATTTTCCCTATTCACCTTCCTCTTGGGAGATATTTTGATTTACTATTCAATTTCCTCACTGCGAGACAGAACAGTGATCTTTATCAAGAAGGCTGGGCTTAGAGTAGGGCTTAAAAACTTGAATACATATATTCCAGGTAGGGTAAATTCTAAAAGAGCAAAGGGGAAAGTCTGTGTTTGTAAAATGTCATGAGATTGACTCAAATAAAACAAGAGGAAAAAGTGAGATTTAAAAGTCAAAAACTAAGGTCATATATATATGACCTTGAAAGCCAAGTCTATTCTTTACCTCCAAAGGCAACCATATTGTTAAACACAGAAGCCAAGGGGCAGGGGGAGAAATCATATTTTAGTCAGAGGACATGATGTTTGTGTAAGAGTTATTAAAGAAGGGAAAGACCAACAGAAGGCTACTGTAAACATTATGTAGAGATAACTACAGAAATGGAAATTAAAGTCCTCAGAGGAAATACAACTTACACAAGTCATATATTAAAGAGTGTTAAGAAAAATACACGGCACTGAATGAAGATGCCTTATTTATTACTGAACTCTTTTTGTTCCTGGAACACTTCAAAAATAATTGTTTTGTAAAAATAAGTATCCTTAAAACCACATTAAATCTCTCAGAAGGCAGGAGGAGTGGAAAGCTCTCACACAGCATTTCACTAGGTTTAACATGTTCAATGTTCCAAAGAGGCAAGAGACACTTTGATTTTATTTAATATTTGCTGTTCATCTACAGCAGTGCCAGACACTGGGGGGATAGAGATGGACATGATAGCCTCTGTCTTTAAGGAATACACAAGCAAGTAGGGGACAGA